GGGTCGAATCGACCTGTGAGATGAATGTATTGAGACGAATGTGAATTGGGACAAATTGACTTGTGGGATGAATGTGTTGAGACGAATGTGAATTGGGACAAATCGACTTGTGGGATGAATGTGTTGAGACGAATGTGAATTGGGACAAATTGACTTGTGGGATGAATGTGTTGAGACGAATGTGAATTGGGACAAATCGACTTGTGGGATGAATGTGTTGAGACGAATGTGAATTGAGACGAATCGACTTGAGGGATGAATGTGTTGAGACGAATGTAAATTGAGACGAATCGACTTGTGGGATGAATGTGTTTAGACGAATGTGAATTGGGGCGAATCGACTTGTGGGATGAATGTGTTGAGACGAATGTGAAGTGGGATGAATGTGTTGAGACGAATGTGAATTGGGACGAATCGACTTGTGAATCATTTATTCACTATAACAGTCACTGGTTTTGTACTGTAATGTTGTCTTCAAGTGTTGGTTTTGTTTATGATAAGCAAAAATGTCACATGTCACATCTTATATCCAATCCAGATGTCTCTCTTTCTTCATAGCTTTTTCCTGTCCGCCATGGACGTAATTGAATATGTCAAATGTATATCTTCAATGTTTTCACTTTATTGCAATTTAAGTCACCAAATTCACTTTGACTCTTCTGGTCGTTTTGCCAGTTTTGTATGTCATCTTTCTTTATTATGTGTTAAAGCCATGTATACCAAAAATAAAAATAAAATTGGTAATTGAACAATTTTTCAAGCAATAGGAGTCTGAATTGTCCTGAAAAATTGCCAAAATGCACGTTACTAAGGGTTTTTATTGTTTATTTTTTCTCAACAGTATCAATAATAAATTACAGCAACCAGAAGCAGCCAGTGGAGTCCTACATTATGCTATGAAGAACTACAGAGCTGAATTGGTATGTCTTTTTCTGATAAGGTTTGGTTTAGAAATATATAAAAGGTACATGGGTGAGAAAACAATTCATATGTCTGTTAGAGTTGATTATCATGTGACTTTCAAATTTCCAGATTTAACACATTTCATGTTCTGTAATACAAAATGCTTGTTGATTGCAAAAATGCACAGAAAATAATAATTGGCTTTAATACAAATGAAAGTATGTCTGCCATTCTGAGTCTTGTGTTTTTGTAAATAAAATAATAATGGCACATATTAAGTTTTCAAAGTTTGTTGGTGTGTGCAGTGAGGCTTAATTGTTGGCATGTCCACCCAGCATCAGGAATTCGCATGGATGAGTACAACTTACCCTCATTCAGATTTGGCCATTGATTAATAAATAATTAAATTGAATAAGCGGACATTTGATGAAAATCACATTTGGTAAAAATTTATTGCTATGAAAATACCTTGCTATTTGATGAATGTTGAATTCGTTGACAGCAAATTCAAGAAACTTGGTATGAGAAGCTGCATGACTGGGAGAATGCGTTGTCAGCTTATGGAAGAAAGCAGGAATCAGAGCCTGACAACATTGAGCTAACTTTGGGTAGAATGAGATGTCTAGAGGCACTTGGAGACTGGTAAGAGCATGTGCTATAAAGCATATTTATTAAAATATCATTCTTTTCACTATCAAAGAAAACTCCTACCATCAGTGATAATTTCAAAATGACATCTGAATCAGAAATCAATTTCAGTAACTGTTTCAAAATGACATCTGAATCAGAAATCAATTTCAGTGATAATTTCAAAATAACATCTGAATTGGAAATCAATTTCAGTAACTGTTTCAAAATGACATCCAAATCAGAAATCAATTTCAGTGATAATTTCAAAATAACATCTGAATCAGAAATCAATTTCAGTGATAATTTTAAAATAACATCTGAATCAGAAATCAATTTCAGTGATAATTTTAAAATAACATCTGAATCACAAATCAATTTCAGTAACTGTTTCAAAATGACATCTGAATCACAAATCAATTTCAGTTACTGTTTCAAAATGACATCTGAATCAGAAATCAATTTCATTAACTGTTTCAAAATGACATCTAAATCAGAAATCAATTTCAGTAACTGTTTCAAAATGACATCTGAATCAGAAATCAATTTCAGTAACTGTTTCAAAATGACATCTGAATCAGAAATCAATTTCAGTTACTGTTTCAAAATGACATCTGAATAAGAAATCAATTTCAGTAACTGTTTCAAAATGACATCTGAATCAGAAATCAATTTCAGTAACTGTTTCAAAATGACATCTGAATCAGAAATCAATTTCAGTAACTGTTTCAAAATGACATCTGAATCAGAATTAACAATGGTCAGCAATAATTTTGAAATGGTCACTGATAATATCATCATCAATAATAAACAATTAAATTCACTTTGATTTCACAATTTTTCTTATTAGTTCCCGTTTGGACAGAGTCTGAAAACAGGGACTTATGGATTGACTTTTATGCATCCATCTGTCTTTCCTTCCGTATTCAGCTGTATCACGCACATGTTTGAACCAATTTTCTTTTCAGATTTGATTCAAAATGGCTGACTGATGGCCATTTTGTTTTTAACGAATGCTGTTTTTGGAGTCATTTGCTAACATGGCTTGATTGATCATGTTCAAACTATACACATACATCATAAAATACATTTACACATGCACATCTGTTTTAATAGAATCTCATTCAAGATGGATGATTGTCATATCTTTGCTAGAAATGCTTTAAGAATGTCATGGGCAGAATAAAAAAAGGAATCACCCAAATAAACTGGCTGAATCATATCACATGAGTGTAAATAATTATTTGACTTTTCCTACAAACTTTTAGTCTCTTTTAGTTTGGAAAATTATTGACAATGACCACCACTTAGTTGATAGCCATTTTTTACTGTGAAATGCACAATAATTAAACATTACTGCCATTTGTACTACATGTAGAACCCTTATGCACTTTCTTCTGTATTTGTCAGTTCTTTTAATATAATTAACTTTTGAAAACATGCAGAGATATATATATTTTTTTTTATTGATTGACAGGGGTTCCTTACATGATTTAGCCTGTGAGAAGTGGCCAGTGGTCGATGATGAAACCAGACAGAACATGGCAAGGATGGCTGCAGCAGCAGCATGGGGTCTTGGACAGTGGGAGAGTATGGAGGAGTATACATGTATGATACCTAGAGACACACATGATGGAGCATTCTACAGGGCTGTGTTAGAAGTTCATGAGGATCATTTCTCATTAGCTCAGCAGGTAACCATCACACATATATATATTACATATTTTGTAAGTGGGGGGTCAGTCTAAACATTTTGAGCTCCATCTTTTCATTCATCCAACATCATTGCTCAGACATACATGCACATCAATTTCTTTTTGGATTTGATGTTAAGGGACTGGCTGATTAAAACAGTTTATGTTTTATTAATGAATGAATTGATGTATTTATGAAGTTCACATGTTTTTTCTGCTACAGTGTATAGATAAAGCAAGAGATATTTTAGACAATGAGTTGACAGCGATGGCTGGTGAAAGTTACAACAGAGCATATGGTGCAATGGTACATGTACAGATGTTATCAGAACTAGAAGAAATAATACAGTATAAACTGGTGCCTGAAAGACGAGAAGTGGTTAAACAGACATGGTGGGATAGATTACAGGCAAGTTTTAAATGGTTTTCTGTCTGTAAAAAATATCCAGTAAAATACTTTATTTCGCTCGGAATAATTTTTTGCTATTTTCGCTGAAGGGATGATTCAGTGAAAATAAAATCTAGCGAATATAACTTTTTTCCTATATTTCACATTCAACTCATCAAAAATCAGTGAAAATAAATTTCATACAATACAGCCAAAAAGCCTTTTCAGTGAAAATTAATTCTAGCTAAAATAAAGTCTTTTACAGTATTGTATCAAACCTCAATGTAGGTAAATTATTGTTTACAATTGACAATAGGTACCATTAAAATCTTTGAACACTGGACAACACAGTCTTCAAACAATTAACTGCCAAGTCACCAAGCATAAAGCCATTAAAATAAGATGTGGCATCTGAACAACTATCTACAACAAATATGATGTGACTGTGTCTGAACACGCCCAAAATAACATCTGTAAATGATGGGACACCAAATATTTCTGAATCCTTGAGTCATAACTAAAACCAATACTAATTATAAATCTGCATATTAGGATTTAACTTCTTTCACCATAGAGGGCAGTATATATTGTATTGAATGATGGGAAACAATGTTCAATGGATGTGATGCAACCTATATTGAAACGGTCTGTGTTTTGTTCATAGGGTTGTCAACAAAATGTGGAAGACTGGCAAAAAGTGATCCAAGTTCGATCATTAGTCTTGACCCCACAAGAAGATATGAGAACATGGTTGAAATATGCAAGTCTTTGTCGCAAAGGTGGCAGATTGGTAAGTGGTTCCACCAATCTGTGTCTATGTAGTAAATTGTAGTAATAATTTTCTTCACGCATTGTATAAATGTAATAATATCAAATTATCTATGTATGCAATGTCTTTGTTACAAATAACTTTCATTGCCATGACACATAACAGAGCGCCCTCAACCAAAGACACTAGAAAAAGAAGGACATGCAACTGCGGTGTTTTCATTGATCTCACGTATGTTGGTGACCGTTAGAAGGATTAAAATAACTGGTTGAAAATCCCGATGTTGGACATTCTGTCGATAGTTAATCCGGCCCTGTCTTTTCAATGACATCAGAAACAGAAAAAAATCCTTAAATTTCGCAGAATCCTGCGTTAATTATTGTTTTCACAGCGTGATTATGCAAAATACACACTTGTTTACAAAATAGCGTCTTTTTCTAGTGTCTTTGCCTCAACCAAATGTTTTGTGCTTATTTCTGTGGCTATGGTGTTTTTGATTTCCGTGTGCTAAGCACACAATGGAGTCTTTGCAGTTAGTGCGTCCATATGTATGTGTGCTTGTGTGGTAACAAAGTTGTGATGACTTCAATTTAATTTTACACCGACTTTTGATGACTGGACCTACATTATGATGACCTTTTCATAATTTATATTAATATTTAATCAAATTTAAGTGAGTTTGCGTAGCTTAGGTTAAGTAAAGGGGGAATATATGGTTTAATTTATAAGAATATTAATATAATTGGGCCATACCCTACCCCGTTAAGTCACATGATATTCAACTTTTATTAGCTCCGCTGTCGACTTTGTCGAGCGGAGCTTATCATATGAGTGATTGTCCGTCGTCGTCCGTGTCAATGTTTTACTTTTTTGACTTCTTCTTGAAAACTATAAGCCTGAATGCTTTGATACTTGGTGTATATGTACATTGGGTAGACCTCTCTCAGATTTGTTCATTTTGTAATGATATCTTCAATTCTCTAATTTTGGTGAATATTTTTGTAATTTTTAGTAAAAAGTTATATTTTCGACTTCTTGTTAAAAACTACAAGTCTGATTGCTTTGATATTACATATATAGGTACTACATGTGGACCTCCCTCTGATTTGTTCATTTTGTAATGATATCCTCAATTCTCTAATTTTGGTGAATATTTTTGTCATTTTTGGTAAAAAGTGATATTTTCGACTTCTTGTTAAAAACTACAAGTCCAATTGCTTTGATATTACATATACAGGTACTACATGTGGACCACTCTTAGATTTGTTCATTTCATGATGATATCTTCAATTCTCTAATTTTGATGAATATTTTTGTCATTTTTGGTAAAAAGTGATATTTTCGACTTCTTGTTGAAAATCGCAAGTCTGATTGTTTTTATATTACATATATAGGTACTACATGTGGACCTTTTTCAGATTTGTTAATTTCGTGATATCTTCAATTATCTAATTTTGATGATTGTTTTTGTCATTTTTGGTGAAAAGTGATATTTTTAAATTCTTGTTGAAAACAGCAAGTCCCATTGCTTTGATACTATACATATTGTTCATTTTCTAATATCTTCTGTTCTTTAATTGAAATGTGCATTGCTAACAGTGGAGCTATCTCAGCCGACTGGCTGCTTGTTTAATTAAACATGATTAAAACGCAATTCTATGTTGAATTGGATTGTTATTGAGTTTAATGAAACTCCAATTAAAACGTAACACTATATATATTGCAGGAAGATGTTTTTAATTGAGTTCATATCGCAAGTATATTAAAAGTTAATTCAATTATATTGAAAGTTAATCCAATGTGTGTCATTACAAAGACGGTATGACGTGTGTGTGTATGTGTTTTTTGAATACAAATCTGTGCATATAAATCACCTAATTTGCATAATGATTAGTCAATTTTGGGCTTTACCACTGATATCTCAAGTACTAGGTACATGGATGCTTTAGGACAATGCACAGACCTGTTTAGTTATGGTTTATAACTATGCATATTAATTACCTAATTTGCATAATATTTCATAATATAAGTTTTCCATCATTATCTCAAGTTCTAATCACATTTCAATTTAATTAGATTTGGTGTTTATACACACTCACAGACGTGATTGATAATGGAATACATGCATGTTTATTATCTAATTATTATAAGCTAATTTCTGATATCTCAAAAATAAAATTTAACTTGTGGTAGAGGTGCTCTGGAATAAATTAGACTGAAAACCACAGATGTAAAATCAAATTTATTCTCTGTAAGCATTATAAACTTCAATAATGTAGATATCATTATTTTCCTATTGTAAATGTACATCTCAAATAGACAAATATTAGTTGCCAATCATCTTGTTTGAAAGGCTAATTAATTTTTTATATTTATCCAATACTCAGTACACAGGAGTCCTTCTAGAAAACAAATGTTTTTTTTTTGTGGTAGAAATTATTTTCTAATTTTTCAATTTTGATAATTTTGGAATACTTTATTAAAAATATCTTGTGATCTTGTTGTTCAATTCTACACTGTAGGTCACTCTGAAAGACATTCTGCTTTCTAAGATTATATAGAAGAACAGAAAGTAATAATGCTTTTTTAATTAATTTAAATTTTTTATTTTCCTATTAGAAATTATCTCACAAGACTTTGATAATGTTGTTAGGAATGGATCCATCTCTACATCCTGAACAGCCGTTACCAACAACGCATTCACATGTTACGTTCGCATATATGAAACACATGTATAAGAATGGAGAACAGGTATGTATTACTTATACTGCCTACATGTATCATAGAAACCTTTCATTTACACCTGCCTCTCAAGGTATTTTTTCCATTGTACCTGACTCCCTAGAATACTTTTCCATTGTACCTGCCTCCCTAGGATACTTTTCCATTGTGCCTGACTCCCTAGGGAACTTTTCTATCATCCTGCCTCCTGAGGTATTTTTTATA